TGAACTGAACGTCTTTATAAGAAAAACATTCCTCTAAATGGTCAAACCAGGTGGGCAAAATCATCCTCACCGCCCATAAATTTGGCCAGTGTCTGGCCCTCAATAAAACCCCTGGCTCTTACTGACCCACCCACCCCCCAAACCCACAATATTTTTTGACCGGCCCCTAACATGCAGTAGAACGACAGCATGGCCTAGAGCTCTCACAATTTTACTGCATGTGAGTATTATATTCTTCCTTGAAGACCCAATAAAGCGGCAAGAACAGTGCCAAAACTTCTCACTAATTTTTCCCACAACATCGAGTAATTAAAAAGTCTGCAAATGATCCCTAATCATCAACAGTGTCACCATGACTATCTTTTGAATTGATATCAAGACAAGGTGACAGCATTATCTTAATGACAGCAACATTACCACCCCGTGAAGCATTGTCTAGTAAGTTCCTTCCAGCACACTTCTCAAAGATGGATCTGCTCCCTTGTCTAAAAGAGAGTTGATTGCCTCTATCTCAGGTATATTTTATCACACATGAAAATAAAAAATTGACACTGATTTCATTATGTGCTGTTCTCGACATGACGTAGACTTTATGAAAATGGGTCACCTTGCTTCTGATCAAAAATTTTCCCTTCTCCCCACACCACCCCTGTTAATGAGACAATGTATGAAGCAAGCGTGGATAAAGCATACGTCATATGCTCTTTTGAATAAAGCATGGATAAAGCATGGATAAAGCATGAATAAAGCATGGATAAAGCATGGATAAAGCATGAACAAAGCATCGATAAAGCATGGATAAAGCAGGGTTCCACGTGGTTACAAAAATAACACAAATTATCTGTTGCCAAGTCATCATTATCACTCTTGTCCTTTTTGTGAGCAAAGTGGGTCACTGGTCTTTCTGCCAGTACAGCAGTATTTTTGCAAGAATCTTTGAGGATATAAAGACAGTGTGACTGTCATTCTTCACATCATGAGCAATGTATTAACTTTCATTAAACAAGCTAAATGACAACCCATTTATTAATTAACAACTGCATTGCTAAGTGAAGGTTGGATGCCTGAGACATCCAGGGGCTTCTACTATTGGCAGCCAGCTCCTAGATTGAGACTGTCTCGTGGCTGACAAATCCTGGAAACCGAGCCATGACACCCCACACGGAAGAGAAGACAGGCACCAGTCATACTGAATTTAACAGTAGAAATAGGGAGGGAAGGGAGGGGAAACGCTTGAAGACATGCTCCCATGCAAAACTACGCTCACTGTAAATGCTATCGCTGAGAAGGCTGCCAACAAGTCTCAGTCTCAGCGCATATGGAGTCCTGGTGCATGCACATATCAAAAACACCCCTGATTACCACGGGAATGCAGGTGCTCTTTCATTAAATTACATTTAACTGGATTTATTTTCATAATTGCCTGACAAACAAGAATTATTTAATTACCAAATTATCACTGAATAAGTAGTGTTCCTATTCTGTTGCTACCATCAATCGTAGTTTACAAACATTTTGGTTCAAGTTATAACTGCAACAGAGTTTCCTTGTCATTAGGTCAAAACTATCAGTAAAAATGGTTGTGAAGTAAAGGTAATAAAGGAAAGCCTTTTAAGCCCAACTGGAGCCATTAAGCTCTGATTTCTGTAACATGGAGTAACTATAGGAGTGTTGCTACTCCTCCTGGATGGGGTGTTAGCCAAAATATTCAGATCTCAGATCCTGTCAGGTTGCCTCAACAATTTGTAGGTACCAATTGATATTATGTGGTGGAGAGATTGAGGGACTGTGAGAGTAAAGAGTGTTTCCCAAGAACACCTGGACACAGTCACAATCACCCCAGCCAAGGCTTGATCCCAGATTGCTCAATTTAGAGTCTACTGCACTAACCATTTAAGCCCCTGCATCTCCCACAAATGATTGCAAACATACATATAAAAAGAGAATTCCTAAGGGGCTTTAAAACAATGATGCAACAATAATAAAAATAGAAAATTAGGAAAAAATTATGTATAATTTTAAAACAGTCAGACTAAACGTTTGACACAAATTAAGTCTTCTTGAGTAGTTAAATCATGGTTCAATCCCTTAATGAAATGCATTTCAAGCCCAGCTCACTTTTGTAAGTACATGTAGTAAGATATTTCGTCCGTTCTGCTCTCCATGGTTTTCTTTCCCACTTGAGCAACCAGAGTTGTTTTAAGAGTGATAGACTTTGCCTCTCCTCTCCCCTGACCCCCTAGTGGCCTGTGCCTACTTAAATGGGGCTAAAACCTAGCCAGTGAACAGGCTCTAACACTCATCTCCATACCCCGAATTACACAATTCTGACTGAGACTTTAGAGATGTGACCTGCCTTTTCTGCTTTACAAATTCCTAGTATCTTTTTTTCAGATTTTCAGGCCCCGATAGTTCGGCCAGTCAATAAGCATTAAATCACAAAGGACTCTTAGGTTCACTATCTGTTTGAAATGCAAAGATTATTTTTAAACAAAACCGTGACAAAATATTCATTAGAAAATCCATATTTTTAAAGTTCTTTGTAATAATTGGCTATAAAAGACTGTGTCAGTGTATCAATATTTAGTGCGTTTTTAGGTAACTTTACACTATACACTGATAAGTAAACCTACAGCTACACAGTCCTGTCGTCAGTCATTCATGTATTTAAGCAATAAACCACACTTTCTACGTGTTTACCAGCACAATAAACCACACAGGATGTTGAGACAGCAAAAGAAAAGCCTGTAAATCATGAGCCAATGCATCATTGAAGGAAAATCCTAATGGCTCGTGATTTACAAGATTTTCTCGCGTTCTCCCAACATCCCAAGTGGTTTATTGCACCGGGAAATCCATAGAAAGAGTGGTTTATTGCTTGAGAAAACAACTCGATGCATCCCTGAAGAGAATCCATCCAGGGATTAAATTATTCCACAAATGGAATTATCCTTTTATTGAGGTGTGACAGAATAGCTACTCTGGAATAATCCAGAGCATTTTCTCATTCTAGAGCAAGGTCAATCAAACACTCCCCAAAACAATTTAGTGCCCTTTTGCACCATGATCAGTGCACACGTACATTACAACGTCAACATGTATTGTACATGAAGAAACACAAACCTCTTGGTCAGCAAATCTGATGTAAGCCGATAAACCTAAATTAATAAACATTATTGATTTCAATTTTGTGATCCACTGATAGAGTGTGATACTCCAAATGGTCTAGGTATAAACCTTTGCTAACCTTTGTACAGCAGAACACAGCTCAACACATCACTGAATGAGAATCCATCCAGGGATTAAATTATTCCAGAAATTGAATTATCATTTTCAGGGGTTTTATTGAGGTCTGGTCAGAATGGCTATTCAGGAATAATCTGGGAATTACTCTTATTCCAGAACAAGGTCAACCAAACACTCCCCCTAAACAGCTTTGCTACTCTTCTGCACCATGTGATCAGTGCACACATCATTACAAAGTCAGCATGTTCAGGTGTATTGTACATGAAGAACACAAACCTCTTGGTCCTGTTACTAAATCTCCTTTTCTGTCACTGTCTGTTTTTGTGCAATCTGAAGACGATGGTGAAGCTGTATCTCCATCTGCATCTGATGAGAAGGAGAGATCTTATTACATGGCTGCATGTTTCATTAAAGTGGACAGAAATTGACATGACTTAAAGCAGGGGTTTTAGTAAGGTGGGCAACAGGGTATGACATCTAGTACGCGAAAATTACTTGAATATGGTCTTCGTTAAATTTATTACACAAAGTTAAAAAGGCATCTATTTGCAAAAAAGTCTTTTAACATGCATGCTATGTCCTAACATGTGACATAACGGCATCATGGCATCTCTCACAAGTTTGCTGCATGCGCAGAAGTAAAAAAAATGTATGCAGCAGGTAACAGGTTATAGAGTGGCCTTGTAAGGTTTTTCACTATTTTATTCCTTAGGTATCTATCACTAGCATCCATCACTTCATCAGCTATGCATTGAATAACCAAACTTTATGCAGCATGCTGTCTAATTAACTTGACTAATTAAGGTACTTATAACAGAGAAAAGAAGTGAGGAGAGAATTAGAATTAGAGAATTAACACTAGGGTATGGAGCTGGGTACACCTACGATTATCTGGCCTTGTAACTCAGTTGGCAGAGCAACAGGGATTTAAATTTGGAAGCCTGACAACATCAAGGAATTTTCCTATCATTGCCTCAAGTGGTCCTCATTTCCTTTCCAGAAGGAAATACACGGGCTTATTAATTACATGACTAATTTACAAGTAGATGTCAAATGTACCTTCAAGGGCTGGTTCTGATGTCTGCTGACTTGATTTACGCTTTGCCTTCTTTAAATTGCCTTGATTACCAAAACTTGAACATGGCAATTTACGTTTCTTTCTTATGGAAGAGCCTTTTTTGATCTTCTGTGAAGCTTTAAAAGAAGGAATCAAAAACAGGTTTCTGAATAACAATGACCACAATGACAGTATTAAAGTGCAGTGAATGCTGCTATTGAAAGCAAAGAGTATATAAATTATGAAAATTTCTGTCGCCAGACTAAATAATGATGAAAACCGAAATAACCTAAAGACTTAAGTG